CATTCTAAGTGGGTTTTGATTTTTAGAATAGTCTTTAACATCAACATCAACATAATTAAATATTTTTGACTTTTGGTGTTTCATCAAATTATTTCACCTAAATATTGTAATATGATATTAAAAAATGGCTTAAATATCCTCGGCAAGTAGAGTAAATGATGCTCAAGACAATTAAGGGAAATAAGAAAATAAATCTTTTGGGACGGACAAATTGAACACATAAATTTGTCTCCATGTTGCATCGAGCACTCAGTCTTTCAAGCAATAGATAATTTTGGATAAGGAATGGATTAGCCTTAGGTCACGTAAGGTGATTTGTGAACCTATAATTCAGGTTCTCTAGTAAAAGGAATAGGTGCCAAGATGTTAATGAATTCACCGAAAGCTTTGCATTCCGAACAGTTTTCTTTTCCAAGATGCACTATAGTTTTGACCTCGCATTGATACTTGAGAAATTCGCATAGATACTTTTATACCATTATCTATCTGAAAGAATAACTTACAAGCTTGAACTTTTAACCAAACCTAGCTTATTTTCCTAAAACCAGTAGTTGGCTAAGCATTTAAAGTTGTATGCAAGCCAGCGTACTAAAAACAATCAGAGAATAATATAACTTAGGAGTTTGAAAACAACATATTCACAAGTTTATTGAATTGCTAAAGATGCTTTTAAGTTAGCTGCAAGCGAAGTGTCTGGTTATGTATCAGGTCAACGATTCGATGCTAGATAGAAGCATGACAACTATGGAGATAACGCATACGGACTGCATTCTAAGAAGTCTTCTAGAAACAACGAGTAATCTTCTAAGGTCAGGCCCGACCATTTCCTTTTGAGAAGGATTGCTTGCTCATTCTCATACAGAGCATCTTCATATAATTAATTGGGTTTTAATGGTGCCTCTATTATTTTAATTTTTTACAATAGTATACTAGTATTCTTAAATTATAGATAAATGGCACAATTATAGAAAAGTTCACGCTTACAAAATAATTTTCACTGGAGCATTAAAGATCCCTTAAAAATTCAAACTTCAATTAACAAATTGGATAACGACTTCCTTAATATTTTGAATGAATTATGTATTATTGTCACATAGTCAACTGAAAAGTTATAAATTCACCTCCTAAAAGGAGGCACTGAGACGTATTTTATTCCCACACTAAACCTCCATCTGTTGTAACCGAAACATACATCTGTTAGTACCTTATTCAGTTTCTTCATATTTATCAATGAAAGTGTAGCTTTTTCACTTTGATGCAGGATATAGTAAATTTCCATTGCCAGAAAAGATTGAGAAAATATTAAAATAGTTACCATATAAGCGTACTTTCGAAACCTTCTATCCAATCAGGTCAAGTGGCACGAATACTAAAAGGATAAATGGTAAACCTATTTATATTGGATGCACTGATAAACGGAATAAGGGACACGTATTTTATTGAGGCAATTGGCCAAAAATGCTTGATTAAACTATTTTTATTACTGGTTAAACAAACTGTGTGGCTCATGATCACAAAATAGATTTTTATTTTCTTTATTTAAAGAATGGGGCGGGTTTATAATGATAACTGCATTTCCAATAATTTGTTCGCTTGGTATGTCAAGAATTATAGTTTTGAGTGTGGTATTTTTTAGTGTTATGTATGCCCTGTCAACACCACTTGGTTGTTAATCAGACCACAAACCAAATCTCTATGGTTACCCCTTATAATGCACGGATGAGGAGGCTTTGAGGGTGCCAGATTAAATAGGAAGGCCTTAGGTACCTTCGATGCTCACCAGAGCCTCTTAAGGGTAGATACGGAAGATGTTTTCACTTTAATTTGAGATTAAAGGCGTTGTGGGTGAGTCACAATATCTATTAGCATTAATGCCAGATTACGTTAAAGACGTAGACAGGGCATACATAACACTAAAAAATACCACACCCAAAACTATAATTCTAGACATACCAAGCGAACAAATTATTGGAAAAGCAGTTATCATTATAAACCCGCCCTATTCTTTAAATAAAGAAAATAAAAATATATTTTGTGACCATGAGCCACACAGTTTGTTTGACCAGTAATAAAAATAGTAAGAAAGCAAGAAACCACAATTATATCACTCGCCACCTCCATACCATCAAACAGCCAACCGTAGCAACACACAAACAACATGCCTGCTGCAACCAACGTAGAAGATTCAAATAAAAATGAGACTATACAAATTACTCTATTTATAAAAGAGTATCTAATTCTTGTTTAAAATAATAGAATAAAAAACACATTTATTTCAACGAGACCCCAAAAAAACAACCCAAAGCTTAATAGCTAGCACACTGATCAAAACAACCACCCATGAATTACAAAATCACAATTCCAAACTTAAACTAAGTGAAATACACCAACTGACTATTCAAACATCTAACTTGAAAAAATAGAATACTAACAATTTATATTATTGGTGCTCCCCACTAACATCAAAAGATGTTCCCACTGTTTTTCTGTGAAACACAGTATGGAATGTCATAGGCCAAAACATTATTTTAATTACAGATCCTGTATTACGAAAACTCCCAACAACCAAATCTCGTTCCACCAGTGAATTCCACAGAATATACATAAAAAAAATAAGCACTAAAAGAAGACAAAAACCTACCCAGAGTCACAAGTGAATGTTAGTGTTAATTTTTATGTGAAATATGTATGCATGTAAATAGAAACCCAGAATTTATTGATATGCTTAAGCAAACTGCAACTTGCTATTCAAGTCCATGCAATTAATAAAGAACAGATAAACAGTGATCGGAACTGTGGCCCTATCTTCTTCATATGCAAGCGCAAAGCAGTGTTTAAACATTATGCAAATGGGCTTGATAAGTACCAGCAAATTGTCGAACAATATTTTCGATTTAAATGCCAAAATGACATTAAAGCCATGAATATATGAAGTCATAGGATGTCTCAAAAGTAAATTGTAATTCGTGACTTATACGTGATAATTAAGGGCTAAATTTAATACATGAAAACTGATCGCGGACGATATACTGATTAAACATATATTCATACAAAAGTGTTTTACATTGCAAGACAAAGAGCCCTCTATGGACATACACCGAATCCGATCAAATGTAAAGGCGAAGATTTCATCTCATGCTCATTGCAGGAGTTAGAATTGTCGAAGTGGATCATAAAATGACATTAAGTTTACTGGTATTTTTATAAAGATCTATTGAAATTTTTCATTTTCGCTCTTTTTGGGAAAACTATACTGAGACGAAGGGGTCTAAAATAATAATAAATTGATCAGCTTTATCACTCATTAGTATATTCAACTTTGTTAAATGCGTCTAATTACCTTCTAACTTTTATATAATTAAGTTTAATATAAATGGAGGCTGGTTTGGTGGGCGTCAGTAAGCTACCGCGAGTAAGATGTATCTACCAAAAATGGTGCACGCAGGCATTTAGCGCACTTTCTGGCCGTATTGCAGAAGAAGCCTTTACCTGGTTTCATGTTGAAATAAATGTTCCCCAAAACCTTTGTCTCGCCTATTTGCATCTGTCTGCTCGGCGTTCGGTGCCTTGCATCTTGATTGGTCTCTCTCACTAAAGTGTGATTTCTAAAGTCTCGTGTTCCTCGCGGTTGGGGCAAACACATGCAACTTAATAGGTCCGAGTTGATTGAGGCATCGCGTTCGAGCAGACATGGATGTGCAAAGATCTCACATGATTGTTTCTTAATAGACGGATTAGTCAGGACTAACCACATGTCGGCTGGTGGCTGAGCGATCGGATTGGAGGTGGTAAAGCCTAGTGACCTCGAGGGATAAATGCAAGCCCGATGTGCCGACCACTTGATAAGCGCTTTGCTAATATTGGGATATATTTGAGGACAGGATGTGGAAGGAGGCAGGGTAAACAAAAATAAAGCAGTGTTATTCTCAAATCTAATCGACGGAGCCGATTGAATTATGCCCAGACTCGCTGCGGGGTTCGGCCTGACCGCATGGCCTTGATTGAGAAGAATTTGATCCACACACCAGTCTTGGATCTCAGAGCTAATGAGCTTATTGCTATGATCCATCCAGAATGTACCGTAGCCGAGAACTGAATGAAGAAGGGAAAGGAAGATTCATAATTTTAAAGGAGCTCGATTGCATATGCTGATATGATGGCCATTTGCTTTCGTAATTAGTTTTCCACTAATTTACTCTGACGCCGCAATTCCATGCTCGTAAGCATGGAAATTATGACCGAATGAGTCAGACTTTTGTTTCCTCAACAAAAACCGGACATCTTTCGCACTTGTGCATATTCTCCGTCGAGTTAATGAGGATTTTCAATATAATTGTCGTATATGCAATTCGTTTGGCTGGGTTTGCTCACAAGTTAATAGGTTGTCTAAAATCGTCATGATACTAAAATTGCTATATGAATATTGCCCGTATATGGTAATTTACCAAAGTTGGCCCTAACCCTCAACTCAGTATGGATATAAGGTTGGATGCTGAAACTTTGAAGAAATGATATGACCTTTTGGGAATCTTTATTAACTCCTTCAAATATAGATGATAAGACCTGGTTTGCAAGTAGTTTCCATTAGCCTTATATAGCTCATTTGACTTTGAATTCTCAGAATAGTAGTGGCATCAGAAAGAAATAGTAGTACGTACCCCGTAAATCGGCCTTCAACTATTGTAGTCATGCTCTCCTCCAGCATCGGCACGTTAGATGAGACTGTTGCAAAACTGTTTGTCTGCGGTGCAATCGGCATCGTAACTGAGTAGCGTAATCCTTATCGTAAATCTTTTAAGTAGGAGGTCAGGAAAACTCCCTTGAAGCTTGTGGCTTCTTTTTGTCATTTTCCATTTCTACATTTCTACACTCACGCACAAATGTGTACCATGAAAATTCCCGCTTTACTCAGGACATGAGACGCCTTTACTGAGTTCGCTGAAGAGTAATCAACTTTATTAAAGTTTAGGTCTGCAGTATGCCAGACTTCCTGTTCCAAATTCATAGAGCCCTCTGAAAAACTCTTTACTGGAGAATACAGGGTCAAACAAGCTTAACTATTTTAAGAGGTTACAATTGGGGCTCAAGTGTTGTACCGGAAGCTAGATTAATTTGCTCTCTCTATTCACAATACACGGCTTTACTAATGGAGACATTTCATGAAGTCTATGCCTTTACATAAGGTTTGCGAACATAAGTCATCAGTGTTACAGCTAGCACATTGAGTAAATTGGAATGAAGACGAGTATTTGAAAAGAGACAGAAATTGGCCAAGTGAAATGGAAGAAATTTAATAAAGATGATGCACCACGAGATAAGAAATAGACAAGGACATGACTTGGGTAAAAAAATGAAAGAAACCGTAAATAAGAACCATCAAAGTAACATGAGATGTATTCACCCAATTTCGTTTAAGGTCATGAAGGACTGGTAGTACCATTTTCCCCCAATGATGCGAGTAGAGCTGACGTTTCCATTGAATTTCACATAGCCCTGCTTTCACAAAAGTGGTTCTCATCCAGCCACCAGTGGACCTCAGTTTCGACCTCGCATCGGTTTTATCAAACACCCCCAGCGGGAGTCGAACCATGGCTGTGCAGCATGTGAGCTTGACACGTTAACCACTCGGCCACAGGGCGGATGTGAATTTTAAGGAAGGTCAGGGCTTTTGTCATAACATATTCTTGAGTGGGATATTTGATGGGTCGGTGCAAATAATTTATTGGACAAATACCCAGTAAATGGTCCGATGTCGAAAGTGCACAGGCTAACAATGGCAAAGATGCATTAGGGAGAAACTTCTTCGAAGTCCCACTATAAACGCTAGTGAGCCGCTGGAGCGATGTGATAACAATTTAATATACAACCTCACCTATAGAGCAGTTAATTCTAATTTGATTTGCATTTAGTTACTAGAAACATGGTGCTGTCATCTAAACTTTGAGTGAATATTCATAACTTGTAGACCTGCTTGAATAATTTTTTAAATTGGTTTATGGAAAATATTGTTTGATACTAAACTGTACTATCTTGGATGGGCTATAGGGGTCGAATGGAGAGTGTTCTTAGAACAAAACTTTAATTATTTTGATCAACCATAAAGGGCATAATGCATAATGTTCTTAGAATAAAATTAGCAATATTCATTTAATTTCACCAAGTTAATTTCTATCCAAGGTTTGAAAAGCAGATGGTATGGTTTTTATATTATTCGAGATCTCATTTAGTCGCATAGCATTGATTTGATCTCGTTTTTACAACATAGTCGTATTATAAAAGAGACATAGACGAACGCACTTTGTGCAGAGTGCTCTCTCATAATAGTCATGATTATTTCTGGTGTCAGACCATTGACTTATTACATTCTCAGACGTTTATTCGTCATCGTAGTCAGCATTATCATAAAACTACAACTCGTAAAAGAAGCGAGCAAAGTCGATTCTTGGAGAATGCATCAAATACACCGACCAACATGGGAACTTTTCATGACTTTATGGACTGATCCCATACATCAGCCAATTGTGCACTATCTAATAATTGTTATTGTCCCAAAATAATGATAAGAATTTAACAATAAAACTTCTTTACTATATCGGGAGCAGAATTACTTTTAAACAGTCTTTCAGACTGATGTTAAAATCCAATTCCTCTTTATGCATATATAAAAATGTAAGACTTCTCTTGATTTAAGCTAGAAATATGCTAGCGGTTTTATGCATTATTAATTGCAATGGATCATGCGTAAACTACTCAGCTGACTCAAATTTCATACATATTAGTGAGCATTTAGATTACATTTGGAGGCCCTAATTTGCATTTAAAGTAAGTTCACATATGAATATATTCATACAAGAAAGTTTGAAAACTACAGAAGAGGCGATGAGTCATGTGGAATAGGGAGACGCAAACTCTGTCGTGGTCATGCTGAGTTTGCCAGCTTAAAGCATGTGGGCAAGATTGCTATTGCACTGATTGCAAAATAAAATTGGAGCAACAATATTATATGAGGTCCAAGGCTCATTAAGCACAAAAATTCTTTGCGTATGTGATGTATAAACTAAACTTTTACGTTCTCTTATTACACGTAGGTATGGTGGGGCATAGTTAATGTAAATATATGATTAATACAGGATCGTGCAAATAGGAAGAAGAGCATGAGAAGCAACGTTTAGATGCTGGCACTAGTAGAGTATAATTACGAAGTTAATTTTTCCATTTACCCCTTAAAACATGATAGGGGTCAAGGTCAAGTTAAGGCTCTAGGTACATTAATTCTGCCATTAGTTCTATAAATAAATATAATTTAAAAGATAAATTTTTTATTTTTATATGTATATCTGTATTCGAAATTTATTTATAGTAGATATATATCCTATTTCCGAAGAATTTCTTTTAGTACTTCTCAAACATTCTATAGCATTTCACTGTTGAGTAAATTAGTGTAAATTTGGAGTTGTCTTTAGCTGCTCATTTGAAAAACATCCCAATTTACAAAATATAAACCATTACTTCAATCTTGTTTCATAAAATTATTTCGTATTAATTTATATGAAATACACTTATGATATGGCATCAAAGAAATTAAAAAATACCACTATTATCAATTGAACAATCGATTCGGCTCAACCTAATCTACATCAAATAACTTTAAGGAATTTAGGTTGTGATCAATTTTTCATCGCATTTGGAATGATATAAAGTGAATTAAACTTAAATAATTAGCTTTATATTACATAAAAATTATCACTTATCTAACTTGGGAGGCTTAACACAATCAGTAAACAAGGAACTACAACTAATACCTCAAATATAAACTAAATCCTCTCAAGATATCACCAATCATTTAATCACCTTAAACTTTTGAAAGTTGCTTATAATTTATTTCTTGAATTCTACGACCATTAAATCACCCCTAATCTCCTCTCATATGCAAGTATATGTTTTCTTATAATCTTATATCACAAGTAATCTTTTTTCATCTAGATCAATCAAGCTTCATTTAATTTAACAAAAATTTCGACACTTTCACATCGACTCATCATATACCACATAATTTCATATTTTATCACAACTCAGCTCTCAGCTCATTTGATCTAAACTAATTTAGTCCGATTTAGCTCCAACCTTTCTCAGCTAATTTTATCTAATCTAATCTAATATTATATAACTTCATAAAACCACTCTCATAACATCAATTCTTATCTATTTTAATAACACTTTTCATAAAACTATTATAGCTTATTCCATAGTTTTCGGTGTCACATTACTTAGATTTTTGTCATCTAACCAAGATATTGCTGCATGCCAGATGAACAAATCTTTATGCAATATCTCCATGTTTAAATAACGTTGTCTCAAGTTGAATCGACTCATATAATCCCATTAAAATCACATGTAAACTTTTCATTTCATCACATCTCTTCCCACATTTATTCTACTGAGTACACATTAACGCATTCTTTAGCTCATTATAGCATACCCATTGCAGCTCACATAGGGCCATATAATCCTCTCTTTAATCAAGACATCACACCCTATCAACTTTGATCTCTTCTAAATTTTCGGTATAAGTAGATTTAGAGATTTTCAGAAATGTTGCCTAAGAAATTATTACCACAGTACTCTTAAATTGACTCAAGGACTGATAACTAAGCTGTTCTTCGATGGAAAAAATCGGCCTTAGGATACCATTGCATTTTAATTAGCCTCTTCTCCTCACTCTTCTAGGTCTCAGCATCACCCCAAATTGTATTCGATATCGGATCTCAAGTATTGTGGCTGTTCCCTGTGACCTAGTGGCGTCTATAGTTGTCTAGTGAAGTGGTAACGTCGTTAGGTTACTTACAGCACTGTATCGAATCTTGATCGGGGATTTGATAAAATCTAGACGAGGCCGAATACGCAGTCCAACTTAAATGAAATAGCTTTTTGGTGTCAAAGCTAAGTGAAATTTAATATACATACATACATACATACATACATATATATATACATGCATATAACTCCATTTATAAGCTATCTGATAAGATATAAAGTGTGATTTGGTTAGTTCAGGTCATTGCCAATCTC